CATTTTTTTATGGTACTGAGTAAAATTGAAGGGGACAGAATTCTAACAACCCCCATCATCAGTATTTGTTAGAAGAACTAGACAGAAGAAGAACGAGGAAACAGAAAACTTGAACTTTATAACCTGCTAGACGTAATAGCCATCTGTGGAACACTGTACCCAACAACAACATAATGTACATTCTTTTAAAGTATGTATTTTCCTTGTTAGACCATAAAATCAACCTCAATAAATTCAAAGAATATAACTAATAGAAAATATGGTGTCTGACCATAGTAGAAGTAGACATCCATACAGAAAAATGGGAAACACATAAATATGTGAAAATTAAACAATATACATCTTAATAACCAATGAGTCAAGAAAATCAGAAAAAATCGGGAAATCAAAATTACTTAAAGATGCATGAAAATGAAGCCATAGCACACAAAGCCTTGTGAAATGCAGGGTAATTTGTAGCTGAATGTGCCTATATTAAGAAAGAAGAATCATCTCAAATCTATAATCTTAACCTTCAATCTTAAGACAGCAGAAAGAGAAGAGCAAATTAAAAATAAAGCAAGCAAAAGGAAGGAAATGACAAAGATTGGGGTATAAATTTAAGTACAGAATAGAAAACCCAATAGAGAAAACTAATCAAGCTTAAAACTTATTTGAAAATGATAAACAAAATTAACAAAATTTTAGCCAGATTGACCAAGACAAATTATTAGAAACAGAAATGAGTGAACATTACTACCAACCTTAAAAAATTAATAAAGGAAAACTATCAGCACTTATATGCCAACATATTTGATAACTCAGCTGAAATGGAAAATTCCAAGAAACATACAAACTACCAAGACTGAAGAAATAGACAATCTGAATATACCTTTAACATGTAAAGAAATTGAATGATGAATCCAAAATTACCTCAAAACAAAAGCCCTGACCCACATGTCTTTATTGCTGAATTCTACATAACATTTAAAGAATTAATGCTAATGCTGTATAAAATCTTCCAAGAAACAGAAAAGAACACTTCTTATCTCATTTTTTGATGCTATTGCTATCCTAATGCCAAAATCAGACATTGTGTTGTAAGAAAACAAGACTACAGAGCAAGATCTTTATGAGTATGGATGGAAAAAATCAGCAAACTAAATTTAGCATCATGTAAAAAGACTTATTTACCATAACGAAGTGGAACTTATCCCGGGGATGCAAAGATTTTTTTTTTTTTTCCTGGTTCTGGGAATTGAATCCAGGAGTACTTAACCACTGAGCCACATCCCTAGACTTTTTTAAATTTTTGAGACAGGGTCTTACTGAGTTGCTTAGGGACTCGCTCAGTTGCTGACACTGCCTTTGAACTTGGGATCTTCCTACCTCAGCCTCCTGAGCCACTGGGATTACAGGTGTGCATTACCATATCTGGCGCAAAGATAATTTAACATCTGATAATTAATTAATGAAATTCATCATATCACTAGAATAAAAAGCAAATTATATGGTCATTTCATTAGACACAAAAAGCACTATACAAAACCCAACACTGTTTTATGACAAGAAGCACCCAACATACTAGGAAGGGTAATGAACTGCTTTAGCCTCACAAAGGGCATTGAAGAAAACCCCGGTTTAAATCATATTTAATGGATGAAAGATCCAACACTTTGTCCTTTATAATGTTAGAAATAAGACAAAATTCTCTTCTTACTTCTTCTATTAAATGTTGTATTGGAAGTTATAGCCAGGGCAGTTAGCCAAGAAAATAAATAAGAAGTATCAAGATTATTAAGAAAAAGGCAAGGGCTGTGGATAGTTAGTATCACAGATGATATGATATAGTATATAGATTATCMGAGAATCCATTAAAATTCCACTAATTGTAGTAATTGGCATAGTTGCAGGTTATAAGATCAATACAAAGAGGTCAGTCATTTGTGTTTCTATATATATGTATATATATATTTTTTTTTAATTTTTGGCCCCAGGGATTGAACCCAGGAGCACTTAACCACTGAGCCACATCCACAGTCCTTTTTATTTTAAGACAGGGTCTCAATAAGTTGCTTAGGACCTTGTCAAATTGCTGAGACTAGCTTTATACTTGAGATCCTCCTGCCTCAGCCTCCCAACCTGCTGGGATTATAGGTGTACACCACCAAACCTGTAATGAAATGAAATTTTTAGAATCCATTCACAATAACAAAAGAATTACAAATAAAACAAACTCTGTAAACTACATAGCCCACTGCTGATAAAAATTAATGAACTAAGTAAATGGGAAAAACATCCCATGTTTGTAGAGCAGAAGACTTAACATTGTTTAGATAGCAAGTGATCTACAGATTCACTTGCAGTTCCTATGAGAATCCCAGCTGATTTTCTTAATGAAATTGGCTTGCTTATTCTAAAATTCACATGGAATTATAAGTGAATTCAGAGCAGCCAAAAGGATCCTGTAAAAGAAAAAGCAAAATAGTATGACTCATGTTTCCTTGTGTTAAAACTTATTACAAAGCAGTTATAACCAAGACACTGGCATAAATATAAACACATAGGTCAATGCAATTGAATTGAGGGTGCAAATATAAGCCCCCACCTTTGAATGTGATACTGGGGATTGAACCTAGGGGATACTTTACCACTGAATGACATCTCCAGCCCTTTGTATTTTTATTTTGAGATAGAGTCCAGGCTGGCCTTGATCTTGCAGTCCTTCTGCCTCAGCCTCTAGAATTGGTGAAATTATAAACTCCTTATATATGACCAGATGCCAATGGGGAAAGAATAATTTTTTCATCAAATGTGTTCCATATAGATGGACGGTGTGTAAAAATATTAAATCGGATCTCAATTCGCACCATGTACAAAAATTAAATTTGAGATGAATCAATGCATGAGCTAAAATTATAACACTGAGAAGAAAACAGGGTTAAATYTTCATGACCTTGAATTTGGAATTTTTTGACATAAAAAGCACAAACAATAAAAGAACTTGAACTTCATCAAAATGAAAAGCTTTGTTCTCCAAAGGATGTCATCAAGTAAGAAAGAAGACCATCTACAAAATTGGAGAAAATATTTGAAAATCATATAATGTGTCTGTATTCATGAGGAATACTGATGGTGTACAAGTCTTTTCTTTTTCATCATCGTTGTTTCATTGTACTTATTTAATTTGGTATCAAGATAATACTTGCCTCAAAAAATTGAAGTGGAAAGTATTGCCTCACACCTGTTCTGTTTTCTGAGAGGTTATTAAATTATTGTTAATTTTTGTTTAATGTTTRGTGTAATTCTCCATTGAAATGTTCTAGGCCAGAAGATTTTCTTTTTAAGATGATTTAAATTATAGATTTAGTTTTAAAAATAGTTTTTAGGAATATCCATGATTTTAGGAGTATTCAGATTGACTATTCTACATTGGTTGAGTTTGGGTAGTATTGGGTCATTAAACAAAAATTAACAAATTGTTGTTCATTGTCCAATTTATAAATGCAAAAATGTTTGTGGTGTTTCCTTAGCCTTTTAATGGCCGCAGAACCTGTAATAATATTCCCCTTTTCATCTCTAATAGTAGTATGTAAGCCTTCTCTCTTTTTATCTTTGTCAGTCTTTCTGGAGATTTATCTGACTTATTTATTTATTCAGAGGCACTTTACTACTGAGCCACAGAGGCACTTTACTACTGAGCCACATCCCTAGCCCCTTTTAAATTGTTTTATTTTGAAATGGTCTCATTAAGTTGCTTAGGGTCTCACTAAATGGCTGAGACTGGCTTTGAACTTGTGATCCTCTTGCCTGCCTCATCCTCCTGAACCACAGGGATTATAGGCCTGTGACATCATACCTGGTTTATTGTTGTTATTGATACACACACACACACACACACACACACATTTTTTAATTTAATTTTGTTTGTTTATTTTTATGTGGTGCTGAGGATCGAACCTAGTGCCTCACATGTGTGAGGCAAGCGCTTTGCCACTGAGCCACAACCCCAGCCCTGTTGTTGTTATCTTAAACCAGCTTTTTATGTCATGATTTTTCTGTATTTTTTTTCATTTTCTTAATAATCATTTATTTACATAACCAATCTTTATGTATTTGAATTTTCCTTTCTYAAATTGGGATTCCTGGGTCAAATGGATGAATTTAAAAAAAAAAAAATAGGGCTTTTTGGGTACCATTTGTCCATAACTTTTTATTTTTATTTCTTGCTTATTTGTACCAGGTAATATAATACTTTTCATATGGTCAAAAATTCAAATGGTGTAAGAGGGTTTGTGTTCAAAAGTATTCCTCATACCCATGCTCAAGTTCTCCCCATTCTTCTGCTCAGAACCAAGTAGCTTTGTCTGTTTCTTGACTCTGCTTTCAAAGCTATTCCCATATGGCTTTCTAAAAAATTGTAGGTCAAAATATTTTATAATCATATCTCTCTGTTCAGAACAGTTTCTGTTTTCTCCCCCCCTCATTCCCAGGGCAAGTCATGTTCAAGATGAAGTTTGAAAGATAAAGAGAATTTTTAATAGACACAAAAGGATAACATAGTGGAAGACTCTAGTATGGGGGTTATGAAACTGCTATATTTGTGAATATTTTTATGGGAAYACAGCCTTGCTCATTCATTTATATATTGTCTATGGGTGCTTTCATGCTACAGTTGCAGAGCTGAGAAATGAGAACAGGCCACATAGACTGCAAAACCTAAGATATTTACTATTTTGCTACTTATAGAAAGTTTGCTGATCCCTGCATGTGGATAGGATTTAGGTAGGAAAGCATTATTGGTAATTGTTGGGGAAATGAAAATGAAATATTCATTATAATAGGGGGCAGTCATTAATAGCAGAGTGGCTAAAGAGAAAGTTAGCCTTAAAGGAATACAGTGGGGAGACCATTATCATGGAGACCAGGCAAAGGACCATTCCAGGCTAGGTGGTAGTAGTTCAGTAAGGAACAGAAGTGGCTTGTCCTAAACCATGTTTTTCTTATCTTTCCCTCACTAGCCAAAAAGGATCAGGAAGGTGGAGAAGAAAAGAAATCTGTACAAAAGAAAAAAGTAAAAGAGTTAAAGGTGTTGGATTCAAAGACGGCCCAGAATCTCTGTGAGTAACTGTGATCCCAACTATTTGAAATGTGAAGGAATTCTTCYAAGAACTTAATTCTCTTGAGTTTAAGTTCTCTCAATATGATATACCCATTTCTGGAGTTCCTGCTGTGTGCCAGGCATTGCATAGTGGATTTCCCATTGGCGCCACTGAATCCCATTGGCACCACTGCAAGATTGATAAATATATGGTTTTATGTCATTATAGAGCTAATAAGAACTCTGAGGGTCTGAGATTTGAACCTCAGTCTCTCTTGTTTCTATGTGATGGGCAATCTATTAGGCATATACTAAGCATGTTTTCCAGAGATAAAAGGTTGTATATTCCATAAAACACAGTCTTGTAAAGGTAGAAAGGCAAATAATAACAATAGCATAGATTAATAAATGTTGTCATAGAAGAATGCTAAAGTGCTTATGAGAKAACTAGGAAAGGGGATATCCAAATCAAGTTGAGGGAGTACTGGAGGGCAGAAATCTTGAAGTAGTATCTCTCAAGGAAGTATTACTTAAATTKATTTGAAAGAACTGTTAAGAAGGGTGAGGAATGGCTTGTTTCAGGAGAGGGATTAGCCTATGTGAAGGCACATTGGCATGAGAGAACATTGAGTTCAAGAACTGCAAGTAGTTGAATCTACCTGAGAAAAGCTATGGAGCTGTGAAAGTTATTAAAGAGTTTTTAAACAAGAAATAGAGTGTTACAACTGTAATTTTTAGGAAGGCCCTTAGGCGGTAATTTTTTCTTTCTTTCTTTCTTTCTTTCTTTCTTTCTTTCTTTCTTTCTTTCTTTTTTTTTTTTTTTTAAGGCTGAATTGCTGGGTAGGAAAAGACTGGGCAGAGAGATAAGTTATGTTATTGCTTTAAACTAGGTAAGAGGTGATCAGGGCCTGAAACTAAGATAGTGAGAATCAAAAAGAAGTCACAAGATAGTAAGAAGACAGAATTAATGGAACTCAATTGTTGACAGAGGGGATAAAGATGGTGTTTTTTGAGTTTAGATCACTCTATGAAAAGTGTTATCATTTACTGAAATAAGCAGATTCACCAAGAACAGATTCTCTTTTGGGGGGGGAGCATGGCTAGTGGATATAGTGAGAGGTGGCAGGGTAGAATCTTACATAGAGTACAGGTTCAATGTTATCTTTTCATTTGCTTTGTGAAGACAGAATAAGTAAAATTTGTGAAAAGACAATTATATTTTCAGAATGCTATAAAGTGAAAGAGAATTTGGTAGAGAGGAACACTGGGTCAGGAAAGATTTTTTTTTCCCTGCAAGATAGGAGAGACTTGACTATGTATRTGTGCTGAAGGACAAGGACCTTAGGGCCACCTCTTTTGTGGAAGCTTGAGGAAAGAATGCATACCTGGGGTATGTGTATATATGTGTATACATGCATGTATATGAGCATATGCTAATAACTTTACAGAAGTGTTGTCACAGTTTTCTTGTAGCTGATTCCAAAATAGTGCTTTCCAAAGCCTTTTCTAGTYTGGCTGTAACTGAGAGTCCGCCATCTTCTTTCTTTTTTGCAGTACTAGGGATTGAATCCAGGATGCTCTGCCACTGAGCTACATTCCTATCCTTTTTTATTTTGAAACAAGAGTCTTGCTAAATTACCATAATGGCCTTGAACTTTCAATCTTCCTGCCTCAACCTCCTGAGTAGCTGTGGTTTCWGGTGTGCACCATCATGCCTACCCCAATGTTCAGTTTTTAAGTGCCATGAAAAGGCTGGGCAAGGAATTTGGCCAACGTCTTCAGTTTTTCTTAGCAAGAGAAGTAAGGTCTTAGAACAAATGGGGAAGTGGTGGGACTGTTAGGAGAATGRGTATATTTTGGAGGAACTGCCAAAAGGAATGGGAACATGGGGAAGTAAGGACATGCAGAAAGGGATTGCTAAGCAACACTGAAGCTCCAGCTGTCACTGGTGCCCCTGCAAATGCATGGACTTTTATCTGCATCAGCCCAAGTAAGAGTAGAGAAAGGAGATAGCTGGATTAACTAGACTCTGCAAGAATGCAGGCAGCAAGAGAATAGTAGAAGCAGYAGTAATGGGAGTAATTGTAGACAGTAGTGAAGTGATATGCTATACTATAAGGTCTCGGTCAAATAGAGAAGGCAGATTGGAACTGACACACTCAAAAATGGATCAATTGTCAGAAGGTTAGAATGTGCTCCTGATAAGTTTGAAGAGTCAGAGATTAGAAAGTGAGCATACTAGAAGGGAAGGATTTGTTTGTTAGAAAGAGGGACAGTTTAACAATCAGAGCAGGTCATGGCAATGACAGTTTTGAAGATGGAGTCCTGGGAGTCCACTAAAATAGAGTGGGGTGAAATACTTTGATGTATGTATATAAAATAGATCAAGAGACTTCCTGTGTGAGCAAAGGCAGGAAAAATCATAATGTTTATAGAATGTGGTGCATCATGGCTGGTGTGTGACATAAATGTGGAGAATGATGAGAGAATGCTTTAGACACTGAACTCTGGAGCTGGGTTTTAACTGTAAGGGCAGAGTGACTTTCAAAGAGCCTTCTTGGGGAGATTATACAGCATAGGCTTGCAGAATGGGTTAGAAGGGAGAGGAGACTGAGAACATGTCTTATCTCATTTTCTGGCAGCAATCTTTTTGGGTTCCTTCCGCATGCCCTATCAAGAGATTAAGAATGTCATCCTGGAGGTGAATGAGGCTGTTCTTACGGAATCTATGATCCAGGTAAGGAGCAAGGTTGTCTTATAGGAGCTGGCTGTTCTGCATAACTGGACATCAGCCTCACCTCTTCCCTCCTTAGCTGAGGAAGCTCATCCTCTAGCATCATAGACTTTAAATGCTAGCTTTGGAAAAGCTGCCATTTTTCTGATGGTCAAGTTATTTTGGCATATTTATCAGAAGTCCTGCCATTTTGCTAGCTGCTCCCAACCTCCTATAGCCCCGTGTTTCCTTTTGTAGTGGTCCTTGGGCAGAGTCTGGGACTGACAAAAGAGTAAGTCATTTAGACTCAAGTTGTCAACTGATTTCCCTTACAAAGAGACATCCGTTTCTCTCTTTCAGAACCTCATTAAGCAAATGCCAGAGCCAGAGCAGTTAAAAATGCTATCTGAACTGAAGGATGAATATGATGATCTGGCAGAGTCAGAGCAGTTTGGTGTGGTGGTGAGTAAGGCCTGGGGCATTCTGTTCTTTTCCCATTCCCTTATTCCCCTCTGATCTAGAGAATAGCCTAAACCCTTGCTCTTAGCTATTGCCTGTTTTGAGCCTATCTTTCATTCTCTCATCTCTCTATTCTGGAATTCATCTTCCCAGAGGAGGCTTTGCCTCTTTTTCTGACTTCTCTGTTTATATGAGCTATAATGAAATTGCTTGGGCTGGGGATGTGGCTCAAGTGGTAGCRCGCTCACCTAGCATGTATGGGGTTCTGGGTTYAATTCTCAGCACCACTTAAAAATAAAGACATTGTGTCCACCTAAAACTAAAAAAAAATAAATTAATTTWAAAAAAAAGAAAAGAAATTGCTTGTCTTTCCCACTAGATGGGCACAGTGCCCCGCCTGCGGCCTCGCCTCAATGCCATTCTCTTCAAGCTGCAATTCAGTGAGCAAGTGGAGAATATTAAGCCAGAGATTGTTTCTGTCACTGCCGCATGTGAGGAATTACGCAAGAGTGAGAGCTTCTCTAGCCTCCTGGAGATAACCCTCCTTGTTGGAAACTATATGAATGCTGGCTCCAGGAATGCTGGAGCTTTTGGTTTCAACATCAGCTTCCTGTGCAAGGTAAGTCATGGGTTAGAGCAGGACAACAGAGGGATGGCTACAGGCCTCTGTGGAGCCCAGTGTCGCCTGAAATAGTCTTGGGCAAGTCAATACTAATGATTTCTCCTCTCACCCCTAGCTTCGAGACACGAAATCCACAGATCAAAAGATGACATTGTTGCACTTCTTGGCTGAGTTGTGTGAGAATGACTATCCTGATGTCCTCAAGTTCCCAGATGAGCTTGCTCATGTGGAGAAAGCCAGCCGAGGTGAGGCAGATTGGAGCAAAGCCAAAAGGTGGTTCCAAGCCCCAGCAGTCTGCTGGGAGAGAAAAATAAGACACAGTGTAGATTTTAGATCATTTTCTGTGCAGACTATTTTAAATGTGAATGGGGGAAGGTTTAGACACAGTGTCTAAGCCACAAGGGAGGAGCATAAGGCTGAAGAGAGGTCTCCATGTGTAAAAATGGAAGAGCTCTTTCCCTTTCTGGGAAAACAGAAACACCAAAATAACAGGAGAGGCAGGAGTTTTCAGTCTAGGTCCATATTTGTTGTCATTCAGAAAGCAGACTGGATTAACAAACCTCATGCTTCACTCTCCTGGGAGTAGGTAAAGCATTCAGTGGAAATGGGACAGAATTCTGCCCTGCTTCTATATTTTTACATATGTCTCCCATCCTCCCAAACTCGGTTTTCTAAAATAAATTAAACCTAGATCTCAGAGGATTTTGTGGATTTTTTTWAAATCAAATGAAGTCTGCCTTCTGATCTTAGTACCATATACCTTGTGGAGGCTGGAAAACCAATTATCAAATAATTGTGGTCTAGATGCAAAAAGGAAAAGTAAATGTGTGAAATAACTAGAGGAGAGTACATAGAGAAGAAAAATAATTAAGTACCAGAATGTGTCAGTAGGAAAGGTGAAAGCTAAGAGGTCTTGAGGCTGAAATTACCAACAAGCTCTTGCTGTCTTTTTGTTTCCTGTAGTTTCTGCTGAAAACTTGCAAAAGAACCTAGATCAGATGAAGAAACAGATTTCTGATGTGGAACGTGATGTTCAGAATTTTCCAGCTGCCACAGATGAAAAAGATAAGTTTGTTGAAAAAATGACTATATCCTTTCCTGAAAGAAAAAAGTTGCTCCCTAGGAAGGGGGTGGGGGGGACCACTTCCCCAAGGGGACAACAGGATAAATGTGGCTGCATTCAATTTTTCTTTAAAACAATTTTTTTTCCAGCCTGGCATGGTGGTGCATGGTTGTAGTTCCAGAGGCTCAGGAGGCTGAGGCAGGAGGACCACAAGTTCTCAGGCCCAGCACAGTGATGCATGCCTGTAATCCCAGTGGCTTGGGAGGCTGAGTCAAGAGGATCATGGGTTCAAAGCCAGCCTCAGCAACAGTGAGGCACTAAGCAACTCAGTGAGATCCTGTCTCTAAATAAAAATACAAAATAGGGCTGGGGATGTGGCTCAGTGGTTGAGTGCCCCTGAGTTCGATCCCCAGTACCAAAAAAGAAAAGCCAGCCTCAGCAACTTAGCAAAACACTCAAAAGGGTTAGGAATGTGGCTCAGTGGTTAATCACCGCTGGGTTCAGAAATTTTTTTTTGGTTAAGTACATAGCTCTTGAAGTATTTTTATTGTGGAACTGAAAGCAAACCATTGCTACAGAACTTCTTTCTGATTTTCACCTCATGAATTTATTTTAAACAAATCTCTTTTGCATTGGTTTTTGTGCTTAATATTTGCTGTGTTTCCACGTAGTATATGCAAAACAGTCTCTTTTTAAATTATCACCTCCTATTCTCTAGGTGTACCGAAGTTTATGATTTCTTCTATTTGGATATTTAGTTGTTTCTGGTTTTTCCCTGTCATAAACAGTGCTGTGTTGAACATCCTTATGCATGCCAGTATGCATCTTCTAGTAATTATCTGGGCTAGAGGAGTGAGTCTGCTTATTGGTCTTGATCCTTTACTCCTTGGCTGCACAGCTTTGTAAAGGATGCACAGGAACAATATAACAAGCTGCGGATGATGCACTCTAACATGGAGACCCTCTATAAGGAGCTAGGCGACTATTTCATCTTTGACCCCAAAAAGTTGTCTGTGGAAGAATTCTTCATGGATCTGCACAACTTCAGAAATATGTTTGTGGTGAGCAAGGACTACATGCTGACTTTACACAGGTTTCATGTTGGTTGGTGGTGGGTATACATATGTTTGAATCCCCCTGTCCTGCAGCAAGCAGTAAAGGAGAACCAAAAACGACGGGAGACAGAAGAAAAGATGCGACGAGCAAAACTAGCCAAAGAGAAGGCAGAGAAAGAGCGGCTAGAGAAGCAGCAGAAGAGAGAGCAACTCATAGACATGAATGCAGGTAAGAAGCACAGAAGGGGCTGATGGATTGAGAGAACAACATTTAGTATGTTTCTCTATCTAGAATCTAGAGGCAGATGAGAATAGTTTAGGTCTGAGCTTAACTTATAGCAAATKATTTTGGTAACCTTCTTCCTCCTAGTTCCTGATGCTAAACTTTAAACCCAGTTCAGTTATGTGTACATTCCAGTTCTCTGTGTGAAAATCTCTTGCCTCTCCTTTGCTGGTTCTTGCATTATGTTTCATCTCCCCAGGGATTTTAGTATTGCTGTTACACATACTCATTCCTTCTGCTCAGCCAAAGCTTCCTCTGGCTTGTTCTCATTCCCTCCACTTAATCTTGTTTTTTTTTTTTTTTTCCCAAAAATATTTTCCTCAGTCTCCCTACACTTTTCTAATTGTGGCTGTCCTCCCTTTCTGCTTATTTTACTAAGTATTGTGTTGCTATGATATCATAAATGGATTGAACTTCTGGAAGGGGGCGGGAATCTGGCTACCCTTTTCTTTCTGCAGCAGAATCTCTATTTCACGACCAGAACCATGTCTTTGTTGAAACATATGGTCTCAATTACTGGCCCTCTGTTTCCTGTCTCTGCTTCTTTCCTGCCGTGGATTCCCTACTCCCTTCCCCCATGGGCAGCAGAAATACAGCATATGTTGTTCATGGCATTAAGCTGAACCTGAGGGGCCATGAGCATTCTGGAAATGAAGTGGTCCTCAGGTCTGCCAAGTCTGAAGAATCCGAGTGCTTTACTGAGCACAGGCGATAAAGCCTACTCTTCAGAGATTTTCCTTTATATTTTTCTGGAAAGCAATTCCCTTGTCCTTACCTCGGATATATATATATATAAGCCACAAACTGCTCCAGTAAATACTATTATAGGCCACCTGAGTATTCTTCACCTTTTTTCCCATTCTCCCTGAACCTCCAAGGTTTTTCCTCCTAGGAACTGGTTAGGACAAAATGGGGGAAGGTTGAGTCCAGGTAACAGGATGAGAGTTGCTCTGGACCAACAGGTGGCGTAGTGGACCTTGCCCTGTTTCTAGAACCTGGGTCAAACAAATGAGGTTAGAATGTAGGTCATCTGCACTGCTGATGTTCAGACAGCAGATGGCGCTGGGAGCAGTGAGCCCTAGTCTTGGAGCTGGCAGCCAACCCCACTCCTTGGGATTTCACAGTTTTAGATTTCACTATCCTGAGCTGTTGCCATGGAAACCGAGCCTGGCTGGAACAAGGATTCTACATTAACTCTTCGTTTTCCAGCCAATCCACTCCTCTTAGATGCAGGGCGGCTTCAGGAAGAAATAGCCACTGGAGGCAGTACTTGAATGAAATATGCTCTTGATCAGTGGTCTCTCTTCATTTAGTCTTGCTTTGAGACCTGAACCAGTCTCTCTGTGAGATGAGATGTTTGTATAAATTGGAGTGAAACACTTTAGGGTAGAGCTGGGGTGATATAATTGTCTATTAATTTCACTATTGCTGTCTCTGTACTTACCCTGCTCTTGAAGTTGGGCAATTTGATAATTCTGTGTGYTAGTCCTGATTAGGTGGGGAGAATGGAACTGCAGGGAAATATTCCAGGGTTTGCAATGAATAAATAGCAGGCAATGAAATCTTTTGTTTTGCCATTTTTAAACAGACACAAGTAAACACAGGCCTGTGAGTGTTGAGGTGGAGCCTTCCTTGTCTGTTGTGAACTTTTAGCCACTACAAAAGAGGGGATTCCAAGCAATAGCCAAAAAAATGCATTTCATGTGGAACTTGTCATTTGCCATGTTCCTCTGGCTGAAGAGTTTTACAACTGTATCTTTGTTCATGACAGAGGGTGATGAGACAGGTGTGATGGATAGTCTTCTAGAAGCCCTGCAATCAGGTGCAGCATTCCGACGGAAGAGAGGACCCCGTCAGGGTAAGTAAACAAAATGGAACCCATCCTGAAGTGGGTGAGGCCTTTATGTTCAAGGTCCTGCTAGTCTTGGGCTAAAGAGCAGATGTGGTGCTGTATAAGTTTAGGAATTTCCCAACATCCCAGCATTGAGAGTGGATTATCTAGTGCTCTTCCTCCCACATTAGAAATACTGATATCAGAGAGACTGACAGCAAATCAATTACATTTGACTATTCTTGCATTTCTCCCATTCTTGAAGCAGAAATTTGGAACAAGGGCACCATGCTTCAGGACACAGGGATTTGAGTGAGAATTTGTGAATATGAAAAATAATTGACCCTATGGGCTGGGTTACAGCTAAATGGAAGAGCATTTGCCTAGCATGTGTAAGGCCATGGGTTTAGTTCCTAGCACTGCAAAAAAAAAAAAATTTTTTTTTTTACCTAAATACAAAACTACATTTGATATGGATTAAAATATATAAAGAAAAAAAATAACTCACACTTCACAAGAAGAAGACAGAAAAAGAACTAATATAGGAAGTATAATATCCTAGAGTGGGAAAGTGAGGCATCATTGTCCTCATTTGTAAGACTATAGAGGACTACCTAATTAAAAGATTACCCTGTGTCTAGGAACTGCGTTTTCCTTGGGTGCAGTTAGAGTCTGCTATCCTTGCCCTCCCCACATTCATGCAACCTCCTCTCACATGTAAAAGATTTAAATTAGACTGAACCAGATCCTATAAAAAGAATATATTATAGAGATGAAAGGACAAATGATTCAGTTATTAGTCTGGTGAAGGAATAATGAATAGGTTTCCTGTGAGGGTCACTGAATAACTAAGAAACTTTTTTTGGTGTGTGGTGCCCAGGGCCTCATGCATGCTAGGCAAATGCTCCACCACTGAGTTATACCCCCACTCCCAAGAGACTAGTTCAAAAGAAAGTATGGCCAAGGCTGCCCCTCATGTGAGGTTGATCTGCACCTTTATGTCTAGTGAAGTCCCTCTGGGGCTAGGAGTGATGACTTCTTTGTCAGGTTGAAAAAGAATCAGAGTTACAGAAAATGCATCATCAAAGATTTGTACTTCTGAGGGATGAAAGGTGTGTTCTCTGTTCACTGGTGTACTTTGTAGGCCCATTTGATAGGAGCTGCACTTTTTTCTTTTCTTTTTTTTTTTTTTTTTTGTTATAGGTGGACACAATGTCTTTATTTTACTTTATGTGGTACTGAGGATTGAACCCAGCACCTCATGCATGCTAGGAGAGTGCTCTACCTCTGAGCCCCAGCCCCAGGAGCTTCACTTTTTTACAAAGAGTTATGTGGCTAACTTTGGCCAGTGCTTAGCTATTAATATGCTGATGTCTGTAGGCCTATAGTAACTGTCACAGCCTGAAAAAATGATATAAGGATCAAGGGTACAGAACATACCAGCCCACATAAAGTCATTTTCCTGGCCTGAATGTCTTAGATTATTATGAGTTTTATATGTGATAGCCGGCTGCCTGTTTCTACCCAGACTGGAAGGGAAATTCTCTTGGACGGCTCTTCTATATGACTTTAAAACCTTCCCTAAACAGAAGAGTCATTAGTTACATCTTATCCATTTTATGGCATTCTCTGAGTAAAGCCTCTCTAACTGGGAGGAAAAATAGATATGAAGGGCTTAGAACTCTGGGCTTCTAAGAACATTTAGTCTTGTGAATAGGCATTTRGGTAGAGAGTACAGCTGGTAGTACTTTTGTACGAGACCATTCCTACCACTGTATAAGGTGATATGACTATACATTAAGCATTAGGCCTAATAGAAATACCTTGCTTCTCATTTACATGTCTTCCTCAACCCTCTCAGCCAAGTGCCTGTCTGTATCAGATTTTGTTGGGGAATTCCCTTTTAAAGGTCTTCCTGTAGAACTATACTAGAATCCCAGATGCTTCCTATACACAAGCAGCCAGACATCAGTGGCTTCCCTCTGCTGGGGAGGTCCCATTCTCTACTTCTTTCCAAGTGGGAAGTCRGGACTCAACAGGCAGAGGAAGCAGAGACTTTGTCAGAACCTAACATTTCAGCAGAGGACCTGAATTAGTCAAAGTACTATCTCCCAGAGAAAGAGGGAATAGGAGACTTATGCTAGGAGTGAAATTGCTAAGAGCCAAAAACCAAAAACCAAAAAAAAAAAAAAAAAAAAAAAAGCACTGTCAAGCATATCTGCATCAGAGTCCTTTCCCAGTGAGGCAGCTGTCCCTATTCAAAGACACTGGCCTTTTCCCTAGAATTTAAAGGAATGTTGAATTCTTCCGGTCTCTAGAGACATGATGAAGTGTCCAGAATACAAAGACCCATTGAGGAGTTGGGAGAGGAGAGTTACTATCATAGGACTGGTTCATTAAAAGCAACATGTAAACTGCTATGATCTGCAGGGTGTGGGAGAACAATGGCTTGAGTGTCAAGGGGAAGAATCCATGTGATTGTATTACAGCTACTATTTTAGGCTCATGATTGAGTCAGCTTTTGGCCTTAATGACTCAAGTTTATTTCCACAGCTGAATTGTAGTCTCTTATACACAGGCCATTTGCTTACTGAGATGTAAGTCAAGGGAAGAAACAAATTCATTTCTCTCTCCCTTTTATTCCCTCTCCCATTTCCCAGTTTCCCTACAGGCTTCACCTATACCAATAGAACCTTAGTGCTGGGAAAATTCTGAAGAGTCTTCATGGTTATTATCTAACCTGCTCATAGGTGAAAGGAATTAGGGCCCAGATATGCATAGCTATCTAAAGATAGAGCCCACCTAGATCCATAGCTCACTTTTGTGATTCCAAGTCCAGGGCTGTTTCCACTAAGCCTGCATGAATGGACAGGAGATGACCATGACCCCTCTGTATGGGCTAGAAATGCTATTTCAAATGGTCTCTAGCAAGAAGAGTTCTGGACATGATGAGATTTCTTCAGGAGCTTTTCTGATGATTGCCTGACTAGAGAAGGTTGGTAAGAGTGTTCCTRAACCACCACTATTCTTTCCCATCTTTTGTAAAAATAGGACAGGAAGTATAATTAGAGTTTTAGACAGTAATGAGTTATTTAGGATGGTAATGGTTGCTCCATCTGTCCTAGTTTCCTCTTCCCTAAGGAAGCTTATTAACAAGAGCACTTCCTCTTTAGTAGTAGTTTTGAGCCTATGTTTTATAAAGTTCTTTTTCCAAGTCATTAGCTTTTTTCTAGTTCAGCTATACTTCTAGTGCCATATGGTTAATTTTACTGATGTTTTTATCCTAGCTCACCCCTAACTTCTAGGAATCCAACCTAAGAAAGCTTTGACAAGTATCTTAAGATTATTCCTTTGCCCCACAGTCTGCAAGACCATTCTCTTATGAGTTAATCATCCTGCCACATCCCATCAAATCAAAATGGTGACCTGGTTCTGTGGCTACTTTTTAGCCTTTTTTTTAATATTTATTTTTTAGTTTGAAGTGGACACAATATCTTTGTTTTACATTTATATGGTGCTGAGGATTTAACTCGGTCCTCAAGCATGCTAGGCAAGCACTCTACCACTGAGCCACAACCCCAGCCTTACCTTTCAGTCTTAACAAGTACTTAAGTTTGGAAAAGAAGGGGAGAGGGCTGGGCTTGTGGCTCAGAGCACTCACCTAGTACATGCCAGGTGCTGGGTTTGATCCTCAGCACCACATAAAAATAAATAAATAAAGTAAAGGTATTGTGTCCAACTCAACTATATTAAAAAAAAAAAAAAGGAGAGAGGTCATTTTTTCTTGATTGTTCTAACTACTTAGTATAATGGTGGCAGTGGAAACCAGAATGCCTAGGTTCTGTTGATTCTGTTGCCAGTTTCAACAAGAGCTTTCCCATTTCCATCCTCAAAATTTAAAAGGAAAATTTGCTCTTCTCCCTACCCACCATCTGTTCCTGGTTCTTATAAAATACATTAGAAATTCCCAGAGTCTAGAAAAATCCTAAAACACTRTTATTAGGTACAAGTGTCGTCTTAGTTTAAAGGAAGAAGCCAATTAAAGCAGCAGCTTCAGACTTGCCACACTGGAACTCTAACTTTGTGTGGCACAGGACAGGTATCCCCAAAAGCCAGTGTTCTTTTTCCCAGGTTCTAGAAGCAGAAATTATTTCAACTCACAAACCAGACATACACTGAAGTCACACTGGGCATATACTGGAGAGAGAGACACACACACATAGTTGCAGTACTGCTAGAGATTGAATTCAAAGAGCAATATAGTGATCTCAGAACCATCACCTTTTTGGACATGAGAAGTGGGATCCTAGGTAAGAATGAAAACTAAGCCAGTCTGAGGAAGATTTTCCTGAGGAGGAGAGACTGAGCAGGAAAGTGGGAGAAGCATGCACAGAATAGAGCCATAGAATCAAGTGGGCTCCTTTTACTCACCTGTCAGATGTTAACACAACAGTTTGTATTCATAATTCAAGTGAGTGCTTGGTAAAACCTCCGGAGTTTAGGTCTCATATCTCTGATCTGCAACAAGATAAGTCCTTATGGCTATCAGTCAGGGGCTTCACGATTCTTTCTCCTCTTGGTAGATGACCCCTTATGTTCCTGGGAGGAGGAGGAGGAGGAGGAGGAGGAGGAGGAGGAGGAGGTGACCTATAAGTTGGTAATCTGTGGGCATGCTGTGTGCTCCCTGCCTGACCTGTGGGTAGCCTCTGCAGGCAGGAAAACAGTGGCTCTGGGTCATGGCTCTGCAGTGAGGCTGACACGCTTCCAACACAGTGAAGACTTTGGGCTCTCTGATTTCATTTGGCTTCTGCCTACCTAAAGCTTTTTGCTGCTCCAGAGGAGGCATTTTGTTCCCTGGCTCTTCTGAACTGTTCTTCCTGCTCATGTCCACAGCTGTGCCAGTCTTGCAGCTCTCATTTAGGAGCACTCAGCCTTTTCATCCACTCCTGCTTCTTTAAGGCTTAGGCATTGCTTTCTCTACTATACTTTCCTGGGTCCCCAGAAAGTCATATTCTTTATTTTTTCCCCCTTAATTTAATTGAGCTATAATTCACGTAACTAAAATTCGCCTTCACYGGATTTTAATATCACAAGGTTTTAAAATTATCACTGCTGGGCTGGGGATGTGGCTCAAGCGGTAGCGCGCTCGCCTGGCATGCGTGCGACCCGGGTTCAATCCTCCGCACCACATACAAAGATGTTGTGTCAGCCGAAAACTAAAAAATAAATATTAAAAATAAAAATAAAATTATCACTGCTAATTCCAGAACGTGTTCTTCATCATCTTCAAAAAATCCTATACCCATTAACAGTCATTTTTTATTAATACATAAAAATTACATTACATGTATTTAGGGGGTATCTGGATGTTTTGATACATGTAGACATACTATGTAATGTTCACGTCAGGTTAAATAGTGATCTCAAACATTTTATCATCTCTTTATTCTGATTCTCCGCATCCTATCCCTTGGCAAACACTAATCCACTTTCCATGTTTTGKATTTGCATGGACTAGACAGTTCATAGGAATGGATTGATATATATGGCCTTTTGTATCTGGCTTCTTTCACCTTAAGCTAGCTAAGCTACTTTATGTATGTGCAGTCTCTGTGTGCTTCTTCTAGGGCATGGGAAGAAGCAAAACATCATGAGATGGACATAATCCCAAGGAGCTGCCTTCCTGTTGAGGATGCTGGGGTCATAAGTCTAATAACAAATATTAGAGTCTTGGGTACAGGTCCCAAACGTTGACAGAATCACATTGATTGACTGGTTCTTCTCCTGGGATGACAACTGGAACTTCATAATCCTTTAGGCAGAGATTTCTTTATAGGGGTCCCATCTTGGCCATCCTTGGTCCCAGCCCTATCTTTTCTCACATGCCTTTGATCCCTCCCCTACCAGCATACACACTCATATTCTTTACCTGTCTTGTAGGGCCCTTGAAGAGGTGGGAAAGAGCCAGGCATTTGGATTGGTTATTGGAGAAACACATGGGAGTATGGTATACATGTGATGCCACTTAGTGGCTGCTACTGTTTTTTGTAAGAGCCCCCCAGCAGCCTTCAGCAGACTGCCTCCTATGAGGAACAGCCCTCCTGGGGCTGACTGTAATGTATTTTTGCCTAGGAGCTTTCTGTGGACTGCCAATAAAATAATAATAATGATAATAATAATAATAATAATAATAATAATAATACTCTATACCAAGCTTTAGCCTCTTTAAGTTCAACAACCCTGAGAAAATAAACTTTGAGTACATTATCTCTCTTTAAGTATGACATGCCAATACTTAAACCCAGTTCCTTCCCTTTAGCCCTATTCAAACCTTAGTACTGTTATCACACAAGGAAGGAAGCAACGGTAAGGTACACACTCTCTTATATTTTTGCCACCCAAAAATATATCCCATAGGCTGGATCTCTGCCCCTCCTTCTTCAAAGTAATGGTCTTTGTGAACCAGAAAAGGCAACCATATTTGCATGGCTTCTGGCTGAATGTCTACTATAGAATGTGAAAGAGATTCAAAACAAGGCCTTCCATAGACAGCATCTCTCATATCTTCTCTTGCAGCCAACAGGAAGGCTGGGTGTGCAGTCACATCTCTGCTAGCTTCAGAGCTGACCAAGGATGATGCCATGACTGCAGTTCCTRTCAAGGTGCCCAAGACCAGCGAAGGAGTCCCCACAATCCTTGAGGAAGCCAAGGAGTTGGTTGGCCGTGCAAGTTAAACTGGGTCCCTGGGCCATGGCAGCTCCTAAATGGAGCCTGGATTGTCCCACCCTGCAGCATGTGCCTATAGGGTCTAGGGGATATTCCTCTGGGGCAACCACTTCCACTACCCTGACCCCATCTTTCTCTGGCCTGCTGCTCTCTGAACATCACATACATCTTCAGCTGCCTGGAGACCAGAGGAAAGGGTCATGTGGAAGAGGCCTGAGACCAACTCAGCCAGCCCTGGCTATTGTATTACCAAAGCAGGGGACCCTTTTTGCTGCCTTAACCTGTTTCCTCTGTTACTCAAGAGGGCCTTGTCTTAGACAAAGCGCAGCCTGCTTTCTCAGCCCAACTTTCTATTGGGTATGTTCGTAGGTCAGACTTGCTGAATTTGTGCTTTTCTTTTGTGGTTTCTCTGGCCCTGAGAACAGCATGGAGCTTATGAACCTCTGGGCTAGATCCTTCCCTTCATTGCTGTCACCTATGCTCTTCTCTTCCCCTCCTAGCTGTTGTTATTTATTACTAGTGCTGTGGCATTGGGAGCTGCTTCTAAGAAGGCCGGAGCAAATCCCACCCTTACCCCATCTTCCTGGAAAAGGCTTCCCAAAATAAAAAGGATCTGTACCACTCTACTTGTTCCACTGTGGTCCAGGCCTGAGCCTGTGGACAGGTAGCTATGGCATAGTAACTGTACCGGGTTCATCCCCCAGCCCATTGCCATGCCTTTTGCCTTTGCCTCCCTAGACCCTTTGTATCAGCCTCCAGGCTACTGAGCCAGGGTGCCCCCCCCCATCATTCCTTCTGCAGAGTTTTGATGCATCTAATTTGGAGTATGGCCTATAGTGTGACCATCCCAACACCTCACCCCCTATCTCCAAGGAAATGGGAGGTGGAGCCTCCTGGCTGAGAAATTGTTTTGCAAAGGATCTATTTTTGTACGAAAAAATTTTTTTAAAGAAAAATAACTTCCTTCCCCTGTCCCCTCCATAATGTAATAAGGTTTGATGGTAGGTTCAGAGTTCTAGGGCTCTCCTTACAGGCCACAATCCTGAACATGCCCCTGGACCTTGGCCTCAGTTCTCAAGCCTTTTGGACTTTGAGACTTACGTAGAACTCCCACCACCAACAACAACCCTGCAGCACTTCTGGGGCAGGAGGAGCTTCTGGTTGGGCTGGGCCAGGCCCAAGAATAACAGGAGCTCTGAGGTTACAGTTTTTATGAATTTAATAGATTATCAAGCCAAATGTACAAATGCTAACTGGGCACTGGGAATCTGGCACAGGGGTTGCTTGCACATACACCCTGTGCTCCCTTCTGAACAGTGGGCAGACCAAACTATTTGGTGGCCCCAACCTCAGGAAGCTCAGATTCTCTGGCTTAGGGTGACACTTCTGTCTCCCTTGTGCCACTTTRAGCCCATCCCAGCTAGGGAGAGAGAATGGTACTTTTAGAGATTGGCCCAGAATTGGGGAGCTAAGGAAATTTGAGGGGGCTTTGTGGCCAGGAAGGAGGGTTTTGGTTGTGTGTCCAGCTTGTGTCCAAAGGGGCAAAGGCAACTCTTCTGGGCTATTTCAGGGAAGACTGGTGCAGGGGTCCTGTTGCTTCCCTGAGTCACCTTCTTCCTCTTGCTGGCTGACATCTAGGGTTTTGATTTGACCCTTTCTTTTTTAATCTACTTTTGCTAAGATGAATTTAATAAGAAAAATTTTTAAAAAAGAGAGAGAGGAGTATACAAAATGCAAACCTGTTCCCTTGCCTCTTGGGCTTCTGGGATGTCATCACCTCCAGTTTGATGGGTTTGTTTCCAACTGTTAATAAAGCATTGAAACAACACCGCCTTTCAGCCTCCTTTGTGAATTTCTAAGCTATTTTTCTTTTCAGTCCAGGCTCCTCTATTCTTCTATCAAGGTGCCCAAGAACAGTGGACTGCCAAGAAAAAAAAAATAATATTCTCTCCAAGCTTTAGCCTATTTAATTCCAACAACCCTATCATAAGAAAATAAACTTTGAGTACTTTATCTCTCTTTAAGTATGACACGACAACACTTAAACCCAGTTAACAACCCTGGCTGACAAAGTCAGAAAGCTAAAGGTGCCAGACACTATGCTTGAACACAGGGCTAGAAATGATTAACACATGATGTTTTCTGCCCAGCCAGAGCTCACCTCAGGGCTATTTACTTTCCATAAAAAATTAAGGAGGTGATGCAGGGGTTGGGACTCAGTGGTAGAGAGCACTTGCCTAGTACTGGTGAGGCACTGAGTTGGATCCTCAGCACCACCTAAAATTAAAAAGATTGTGTCCCTATCTACAACTAAAAAAAAAAAWWTTTTTTTAATGAGGTGACTTAAGCCTCCTGGCTGTTCCACATTGCTGCAGTGTGGCTTGGACACCTTTTCTTGAACTGACTTCCAACTCCCCACTTCCCCATGCCTCCGATGTCACACAATTTCACAGCAGGACCTGTGCCTCTGTGCTGAGCAAATCCTCTTGACTCCCATTTTTCCCATTCCCAACATCTGCTCTTTTGGTGACCACATTCAAGAGTTGAGAGACTTAGGGTGGGCTGGAAACCAGGAGCCTGCCCAAGCAGTGGCAGACCAAAACTGAACAGTGGGCAGACCAAACTCTTTGGTGGCCCCAACCTCAGGAAGCCTTTGCTTGATAATGTACTCAAGCTACAGAGGTCAAGCTACAGATGACTTGCAACTCAAGAGCCATACTGCTGAAGCACTTCAGAGACCCCCCACAAAGAAACCTTACCAGGGAGGAGCAGGCCTGAGACAGGGAGGGGCCTGGAGAGGACCACATACCATGTTGGGCAGCCCCTGGAACTAGAAATAAAAACCTTTTAAATAGCCTCRAGGCTGGGCAGTTGCCTCCCCCACATGGCCAAGGTGTAGAGGTGGGCAGCTGGCTTCCTCCCTTCCCCTCCCCAAGAGGCCACGTGTTTCTGGCTCAGAGCTTTAAATTCCCACATGCCAATTAGGGGACCAACCACAGCTGCTCTCATGCTCTGCCCGTCTGCTGCCCTGCCTGGAATAGAACCCAGGCGCCCGGCACCCCGCCCCTTTGCAGCCTGGCTCTGAGAAACAAAACACTTATCCTATCTCAACAACAGTGCACACCACCCTTCCTCCCACGCAAGAAAGTTGCCCCCAGATGCTTCGTTGGAAGGCTTGGTTTCCATGACAACAGACCAGGAGGTGATAGAACTAGCGCCTCCCCCCACACACCACCACCACCCCCATTCCGCGCGGAGGAAGCCCAAAGACAGCCCTCGGGCTCAGCGGTTGGGTAGGACTCGCTGACCCTCCACATAATCCTAGTGGTCTATGATTCTGTCAACGCCCCTCCTGGTTCCTCCTCCCCCTCTTTCCTGCAGCTTCTGAGGCTGCGGCAACCTCGGAATTCGCTGTGCTGGGAGGAGGCTGGCGGAAGGGGTGGGGAGATGGGAGGGCGAGAGTGAATGGAGAAACACCRAGAGCAAAGAGGGAGGGCAAGCTGGATTTTCGGGCCATCTCATTTCCTGCTCGMCTTTTTAGTCCCCCTGACCCCCTCGAGAAAAGGATGCGTCCTCCAATTTGTTTGTCTTTGCTGGTAAGAGGTGAGAGGGAAATACCGCAGGGAAGAATCTCCGCCCCCGCCCTCCGCATTTCCTCCCACTGCCGCGGTGTTCCCAAAACCTCTAGGCTGCAGGGGTAGAGGGAGTGCGAGAAAGAGTTAATTTTGGCGGGGAAGGGGCGGGCGAACTAAGCTAACGTCCCCCGCGCCCTCCCAGAGCTGTTTGCCCGGCGCCAACCCTCCCCCGCCCGCGCCGGTTCGCCTCTTCTGCCTGGAGACTGGCGCTTAGAACCTAACCTAGCGGAGGCAGCCGCCAGCATACAGCCAACTGCACACGGACACACCGCACTCAGACTCCCCACCCCCACGACGGATCCCCTAGTCCACACACACCACGGCAGACAGATCTACAAGCACAACGACAGTCCATCGCAGGCAGACACGACGGTACCCAAGCATGCACAGCCATATTGGACAGCCCAACACCGACTCGGGAGGCAACACACACTCCCACTCCCACACTCCCTCCCTTCAGAAACAGATTTAGACCCTCTATGAGAAAACAAAATAAACAAGATGCAAACACTCGTCTCCCAATTCCGCTCTTCCAGCTTTACACCTCTCAGCTCATCACTTCACGCGTGCCAGGAGCTCCGTCTCTTAAACAGAAGCGTTCACTCTTTCAGAAGAAACCTTTTTTATTATTTTTTCGAAGAAAAAAAGCCATATAAATATTAGAGTATAAAACTTGCGTGAGATACAGGAAGAGGGTGGGTAGGAGCTACGTGACTATGCGAAAGAGAAGCGCTTATAGAAGGAGTCAGTACGGGGGAGGGGGTCGCCGCAGCGCGTGGACACAGCACAAAACACAGCACGGGCCGCCGMAGGCAGATTCAAGGACAGACGGCTGCGCGCAGCCCACCGCCCGCTGCCCACTCGCCATCACGGAAAAGCACACCRCACTACATACACTATTGGCTATTCTACACCAGCCGAGGGAGGGGGCTCTACACTACTTTTAAGGGCTGGGGTGGGGTTCTCTTGCAGCCGGGCTGGATGAACCGGACCGCGGGGCAGAAGTGGGTGGGCAGAGGAAGGTCTTTGCTCAAGGAGGCACTGGGGGACTTTAACCAGGCTCTGGCCACTAAGGGGTGGGCTGAGGGCCTGGACAGTGGCCTTCACAGAGAAGAAATGGCACCTGGCAAGATGAAGGACCTACGTTTTGAGTAGTACAGGGACCCTGTAGAAAAGCCCCGCCTATCTACTTGGTTCCTGCTGTAGTTCTTTGCCTCCCAACCCAGGAACTAAGAATGGCCTTGCTGGGCTTCCCTTCCTATCAGGGTTCCACAGTGGCTCCTCTGGAGTACCCAGCACCCACAGAGGCCCCTCTGACCTCTCCAGGGGACCTACTCCTAAACCCAATCAGAGCTTCCTTAAACTGAAATGCCCATTTAAATTCATTGGTCCTGATAGCTCAGCCCAAAGCCGCCCCGGGCTGAACCCTATATGGGGGGGGGGGGGCTAAGGGTCCAACCTGGTGCTTGGTTTATGGCTGGAATTTGGAGATCTGGCCAGTATTCTGGGGGACATACAGAGCCTCCTTTATGACCCTGTAAACTGATGGGCCAAGCTTTGTCCATCCTCTCCCCATCCATATACACAAACTTCCCTTCTTTAGCTTACCATCCCCTACTGTCTCAGAACATGCAATGGAGTCTCTTGTTTGAGGAGAGGTGGGGAAAAATCACAGCATGCAGTGGGAACATCGAACAATGAAAAACAAAAGACTGGTCCCCAGGGCCTGGGGAAGAGGCTTGGTAGCAAAATGCCTTCCCTAAATCTGGCAAGCATCATCAGTACCACAGGGATGCTGACAGTATGGTGTCCCCCAAAACTTGAACATTGGTCTTAGGATCTAGAGAGGTAAAAGGACTCTCACAATACCATGCTTTGGGGGAAGATTGAGAACTGAAGAAGAGACCAAGAGGTCATGATGCCTTCCCAACTCTATAGAACTATGACCCTTCTTAGATCATGTGGTACCTCAGTACCCCAACCACCTTACTCAAGAGAGGAACTTTGAAGGAGCAGGATGAGGTGGGGTGGAGGGAAGCAGGGGATGGATGGGCCTGACTGATTTGGAAGATGGAGGAGTCCAGCTGTAAGAAAGGGTGTGTGACAATGATTCTTGGTGTCTACACTAACCCCATTACCCCCGTGGGTACAGCAAATTGATTGGATGGGGGTTCCCAGCAGAACTCCCTTTGCATATTCAACCCCTTGGGGGCAGAGAGAGGGGGTATTAACTGGGCACTTGTTTCTGTTTCCCAAGGGGAGCATGGCCTTAGCCCCTGCCAGTATCCTGGGGGTGAGCCCTGAAATTCTGAGATGTGGGTACAGGTAAGGAGAAGCTGGGTTGGTTGGGGAAGGAGGCTGTCCTATAAGGCTCTAGGCCTGGCCTCCACGTTACTTCTTCTCCTTCTTGCCCGACTTCTTCTTGTTTCCATTGCCACCTGCTGGGGTCTTGCCATCCCTCTTGCCAGGTGCATTGGTGAGTGTGGCATTGCTGCCAGGGATGTAGACGTTCTGGCGGTAGTCGGGCACATGCTGCAGGGTGAACTGGGGTCCATAGCGGGCACTCAAGCCCATGGTGCCAGCACCTCCTCCCAGGGTGGAGCTCCCATCAGCAGCTTCTGCAGAGAGAAGAAGGTCAGATCATCAGATGAGGGCAGTGACTCTCGTCCTACAAGCAGTTACTCAATGCCTTCAAAAATACTCACTGGGAATACACCACGTAGTCTGGATCCACAAGGAGTTGAAGGTACAGGTTAAGAGTGAGAAAGCCTAGGTTTGATTCTCAACTATTTTTCTTACTGTAATCCTGGTAAGTTGATCTAAACTCCCTGTGTTGCCTCAATTTTCTGATCTGCAAAATGGGGGTAATAGTATCCACCTGTTCTGGTTTGGATGAAATCTAAAACTAGAAAACATACATAAAGTACCTAGAATGGTGCCTGGTGCTTGGCCAGTGCTCAGAATATATTAGATAGATTTCCCTCAGGGCTAATACCCTTGGCTCCCAAATCCTTGCCCTAGCTAGCCCTTCTCCAGGGAACATCTAGCTTCCACATTAGACCATGGTTGGCACATAATCCTTTTCTTCTCCAACCATGCCCAGCACAGAGTAGTGGATCAGAAGTTCTATTATCAGGAGGAGGGACTCTTCCAAGCATTCATGTCTTGGAAGCATTTGACGGCCTACTCTGTGTCAAGCGCTTTGTTCCATATTTCACATGCAGCCTCAACCCAACACCCAATGAGATATATGGGATTATCTTCATTTTACAGGTGAGGGTTGAACCAAGGCTGAGAGAAGCCCAATACCTGACCCCGAAACTTGGTCTAAGTGTATCTAAGCATATGCTGCAGGGTACAGCTACTCCCTCCACCACTGCCACCAGCTAGGATCTTATCCCTGCTCTGAGGGCAAAGGARGTGAGAGGAGAAGGTAGGGATGAATCATGCACTAGGAGACTGAGAAGATGATGACCTGGGGGACCACCTTAGGTATAGCAAAGATAGATAGAGGCTCAAAATGTCTAAGCTAAATGACATCTGGAAGTGCAGCCAGCCCAACTGTTTGCTGCACAAAAGAAGAAACTGATGTCCCTAGCTCAGCATCTCAGAATCTGCATGGTAACAGGAGCTCCAGATGACTTGTAGGTACTTTAAGGTTAAAGCACATTAATAACTATCATAGGGTTTTTATGAGGATTAAATGAGAGTGCTTCATCTAAGCTTCATCCAGTGCCCAGGATAAGTGCTTAATAAATGTTAGTCACTGCTGTTGTCATACCATCATTGTTTCACCCATCTACACTATTACTCTCTTTGGCTGGGTGGAGGGTGATGAAGGGAAACAGGAATTTTACTCTTTGGGCTCACTGCTGGAAGACCCCGAATCCTCTGTGGCAGAGAAAGAGTTAAAACCCCAGAAATGGGGCTGGGGATGTGGCTCGCCTGGCCTGCATGCGGCCCAGGTTTGATCCTCAGCACCACATACCAACAAAGATGTTGTGTCCGCCAACTAAAAAATAAATATTAAAAAAAATTCTCTCTCTCTCTCCTCTCTCTCCTCTCTCACTCTCTCTTTAAAAAAAAAAACAAAAACCCAGAAATGCCCAGCCGGGCTGCCCGGGCTGCCTCCAAACCTCCCTCGGCCCCCACCCTAGACCCTGGAAGCCTGAGAGAGTGACTAAAGCCGGAGAGGCTGAGTAATCCTCGGATACCAACCAGGGATTGAGAAACAGGAAATATTTTTCAATGCCGGGGAGAGGGGGCAGGCATAAGAGGAGGAGGAACAGAGATGAGTCTCTGTCTTTCTGCCCTCCAGGCCCAGGACTGGGTTTCTGCAGCCTCCATTTCAAGTTCTAAATCCCTGGAGCTGAGGGCCTTCTGGGGGCAGGGACAAGGCTGGGTGGGAAAGAGCAGCTGCCGGCTTCCTTCTCTCCTTCCCCACCGGCCCCCTCCCCCAGCCCTTTCATAGGGCTGACATTTCCCTGTTTTCCCTAATTAACTCCAGGAGGGAACTGAGTCCCCAGACGCCTGCCCCCTCCCCTCCAGCCACCAGCCCCCAGCCACGTCTAACCTCCTCCAGAGTGGAAGGGGGGGGGGGAAGGGCCCAGATCCGGCTTCAAAGAACCAAGATTCCAGAGTGATTTAGGGATAGAAGGAAGGGGAGACCCAGGAGGTGCCAGAGAGCAAAAAGAGAGAGTGTTTCATCTGCACTGTCCACAGAAGAAAAAGAGGAATAAATGCAGAGAAACAGGGATAAAGGAGGCAGAACAGAAAGAGAAAAGGCACTTCACAGACTTTGTGTGCACCCAAGATCTCTGAGAAGTATCCAGAATGGTGAAAATGACAGAGCACGCTCCTGCCCACCTTGTGGGGAAAGGAGATGGGGAATCCAACATGTATGAGACAGAGACCAACACTGGAGTTCTGTCTGGTCAGCTCTGAGTCTGTTTGCTCATCTATAATCTGAGGGAAAGAAGTTGCATTGCCAACTTTTACCTTCTATATAATCAGTTCTCCTAAACTGTCTCTACAGCCTTCCCCCAACTCCCAGACCCACACTGGGCAAGGACCAGGATTTTCTCTTAGTCTAAGAAGACAGAGACTTACAAAAGCAGCCAGAAAGAACATGGCCTGAGGAGGCGGGGTGACTGATGCTGACTTCTCTCCTGTGCTAGCCCCACCACTGCCCAGTTACCATCCTCTGACCCCACCCAGCCCAGGGCTGAGGCAAAGACTCTCAGTAGCCACAGAGGCCTGAGGAAGCTGCATCTGAGCTGGTGAAGCTGCCAACTGCAGCCTCCTTTGGAACATACATGCCCCAAGGATCCCCCCACTTCTCTCTTTCTGTCTCTCTCTCTCTCTCACTGACCCTCAGCAGCCCCACAAGCCTGGCTGGGCTGGGCTCCAGGAACCTCTCTGGTTCTGGGGCCAAGAAGTGGGTGTGAAAGTGAGAGCGCTTGACCCTGCCACCTCCCTCCTAGGTCCATTCCCCAGGGCCCAAGGGCAGCCTTGGGTCAGGACCTATGTGGCTTAGAAGAGGTGGAGTCCTGACAGAGGAGCGTGCGCTGCTATGGCCCTGCTCCAGGGAGAACTTCTGGGAGGGTTTTGGGCCATAAATACTGTTTCCATTTCTGTTTTTTAACATCTGGATTTAGGCTAAAAAGCCAACTCTCTGGCCTTAGGGCTCAAGGCCACAACAGCTAAATAGACCAGTTTACTTCCCTCAGGGGCTGGACTTGGCATCTCCCCAGAGCTGCCTGCCTCTTTCATACTCAACAGCTGGCCTCTCTAGGATTAAGGCCCATCAGACCAGGGAAAGCTCTACCCCAGGGGGCTGGCAGCCCCTACCACCTCTTCCTTCCTAGTCCTTTCATCAGCCACAGGCCCGACCCTACTTAACCTCACAGACATCTAGAGTAGGGTTGCCAGAGAACAAAAATACAGGGTGTCCAGTTATACTTGAATTTCAGATAAACAATGAGTAATTTTTTTAGTAGTCCATCTGATGCAACATTTGAGATAAACTTATGCTAAAATAGCACTTGTTGTTCACCTGAAATTCAAATTTAATTGGCCATCTTTATTTTTAAAAATATTTATTTGGGGGCTGGGGTCGTGGCTCAGCAATAGAGCGCTCGCCTAGCACGTGCGAGGCCCTGGGTTCGGTCCTCAGCACCACAAAAAAATAAATAAACAAAATAAAGTTTAAAAAAATTATTTTTTAGTTGTAGTTGGACACAATACCTTTATTTATTTATTTATTTCTATGTGGTGCTGAGGATCGAACCCAGGGTCTTGCATGTGCTAGGCGAGCGCTCTACTACTGAGCCACAATCCCAGCCCCTTAACTGGACATCTTTTATTTTACAACTGTAATCTGGGAGAATAATGCAGGGCATAAGGAGGAGTTCAGCCTCTAGACATAACCAGCTAAAAGAAACTGAGGCTGGATCTAAAGGCAGAAAGTCAAAGTCACTGTCATAGAAAGAGAATGAGCTTGGGAGTAGAGCTGGGTTAGAATCATAGCTGTGATCATAACTGTGCAGCTCAAAACAGGAGGCCCCCCTCCCCCCCACCCCCAGAAGAGTGACATCTCACACCCCTCCTCTGTCAAATGTAAATCATCAGGTCTGCCTTGAAGGGCTGGTCAGGCGATTAATTGACATGAGGCACTTTGAGTTTAGTATGTGCCCTGGACCAWGGTAGAGATATTATGGTTTCTCCTGGTTCTCTGCCCACCTATCCTCCAGATGTGCTGGAAGGCAGGACATAAGCCAGTGCCTTAACCCTCATGGGCCCACATTTGCTGCTACAGAAGTTAGCCATTAGTAATAGGCATTCCTCTAATACTGTTTTTTCCCCTATAATGGGCCACTAAAATTAATATTTAATCAATGGTAACCACTATGTATTCTAAGGACTCTGCCAATCCTGTGCTGAGGGCCTCCCTTATATTTGGCCCTCACAACACCACAATTATTAATATTTTGCCCATTTCATAATAAGTGGAACTGAGGCCCAGAAGGATTTACCCAAGGACTCACAGCTAAGTGGTGGCACCAGGGTTTGAATCCAAACTGACCTGCTTCCAAGTCTGTGCTCTTAATAACTAATGATATTATTCTACTTCCCTTGCTCAGGACCCTTGTGGTTTTTCAGGGACAGCCACCATTGACTGAGTCTCTATTACATGTGAGGCTCTTTGTTAGCTTTGTGGGAAAAYCCTAGTCCTGGTCTAAAGGTGGGGGCAGCAAGAAAAAAGGAGTCTTTTTCTCTCTGCTGGGAATATCCACACCCACTGTCACTGATGGAGGGTTTGCATATGCCAGGTCCAGTCCTCTACATTTTAATCTTCACAATAACCCTTTGGAATTACTGTCCCAATTTTTCTTGGCTGAGGAAACTGAAATTTAGACAGATCAAGCAAACTGATCAAAGTCACAAGGATGGTATGTGGCAGAGCTAGGACTTGACCTAGGCTATCCCCGGTCCAGAGTTAGGCCCACATCTCCTCAATGGATTGTTATAACTTGTTTACTCCAGGCACCCAGAACCCCCAACCCCTCTGCTGGTTCTTTAGCCTGGAATCAGGTTCTTTCTGACCAGCTGCAAGACCTGGAAAAACCACACAGAATGGTATCCAGTCTCCATCTATGGTGGCTGTGGGAGTCACCTCCAAGCCCCACATTTCCCAACCCACCATACACACTGGGTACCACTTACCGCTGGCGGAGGCCAAGATCATGGCTTGCAGCATCTCTGTGTCAAATTGGTTGTTGGGCCAGGTGCCAGTTTCATCACCATTTTGGGAGCTGGGGAGAAARTGGGATGGTGAGCAGTGTCCTCAGCCTGCCCCATTCATGCCCCTCCTGGCCTGTTCCCAGGGTTCCCAAGTGTAGTATCCTATCCCCAATCCATGCCCAAGACCTGCTCCTTTGAGTGAGGTAGGAAGTGCTTGTCCAGTCCTTCAGAAGCCAGATCCCCACAAGTCAGTCACCTAAACCAGCTTATCTATTGTYGCAGATGTAACTAATCAACTGCATCCCCTCTCATCCTTCATGAAAGGACACTGTTTACTGTCAGAGCAAGGAACACCAGACCCTCTTGGGAGGACAGAGAAGAGGGAATGGGAGAGGATGTCCCAGAGCTCAGAAAGGGGTAGGAATCCAAGAAAACCTAGGGGAGATGCAGGAGGCCTCAGGAGACCCTSGAGCAGGGAGAGAGACATTCTGAAAACTCAAATAAGGTTGCTTCAATGACTTCCTAAGTTCTCAGAATAAAATCCAGGGGCATATAAGAACTTGTCTCTTAAATTTCACGAGAACACCCACCTCCTGCTCTATTCTCTAACACTCTATCATCAAACCTTTTCTCTGGAACTTCCCTGTTCCTCAGGTTCCCACTTGCTGCAAATCCATGGGCAGACGCTAMTTCCTAGAGTGCCAGCTCACACCCTTTGCCTTGGTAACATGAATAAAATGTACCTGAGGGGAATCCCTAAACCCTGGTTGGGCCAGAGCCTGCTCTGAGGTAGCACAGTCACCCTATTGCACCCAGACAGAGGTGCACTCTACCACAGTGACCTCAGCGAGGTGGGGACTGTGTCTGCCTGCTTCTTACTGAAACACATAACATGAAGCCTGGCATTTGGACCTAATTAGGACTCCTAGAGACTCTGGATATTGAAAAACCATGAACATTCATAATTTTTTAAAATATTAATTATAAAAGAACCCTAAAGAATTCCAACATAATTTAGATTTCTCCCACAGTGATAATTTCCATCTTTTTAAAAAAATATATTTATTTTCAAGGATCAAATTATCTCAATTTGTGGGGGTGGTGGGATGGGGAAGCAGCCTAGCATACACGTGCAGTCTGCCTGTTAGGTAACTATTGGCAGCATCTGGCACAGAGAAGCTCCTCAATAAATAGTTGTTGCCTGAATGAATAAATAGTAAAGAGGTCAGGGGACCTCATAGGGATAGATTCCTTTGAGGTCAAAAGAAGGTTCCTTATGGGAAGGGCTTCAGGGCAGACCTTAAAGCTATGAAAGTGAATGTGTAGAGGGAGGGGGGCATTGATGCTCATGGTGGGGTGAGCACCACCAAGAACTTTACAATGTTTGCAAGTTCTGTCCCTGCTTATAATTTCTCCTGATCGGGGACTCCCCATCCCCAAGTAGGTAAACTCAGTGTAAGGCTCAGACAGAGCACATAGCTTCTGTGTGTCAGCTCTAAGCCATCATAACAAACATAAGGTTAGAGTGGAGGGCAAAGCAGGAATCTCATTCCTCCCTTTCCAGAGTGGAAAGAGTTGGATTCTGAAGAGTTGAATTCTATTTATTTTATTTGTCTCAACAAGTATTTATTCAACAACTATTATGGATGTTCCAGACACTGGGCTAGGTGCTCATGTGGTAGGCATGAGCATGAAAGAAATAGAACCTCTCTATGGTGCTCATGGTATACATTGAGAGGTTGATATTAAATGATCAAAAAATAATTTAATTGTAATCATGGCAGGTGCAATGGAGGCAAAGAACAGGGGGCTACCAGAATATTTAAGGAGAATCCTGACCTAGTCAAGGTGAGGGGAGCTCAGTTATTTTAGGCTTCTCCAAAGAAAAGATACCAAATTTAAATCTGAACAAATTATTCAGGTGACTTGTAGAAGGAATGATTGAAAAGCACCACTTGGTAATTGCTGATATAAAAACAGATTCAGGCAAGGATCATTAGGGAACACTAAAATATTAAAATTGGGTGAAGGGCTGCTGCACATCTCAAAGTACCATCCACAGATTACTTATTAATCACAAATATTTGAAAATATCTTTATAAAGCAGAGCACAGTGGTACCCTCCTGTAGTCCCAGCTACTCTGTAGTCTGGGACAGGAGGATTGCTTGAGCCCAAGAGTTCAAAGCTAGCCTGGGCAACAGAGAGACCATCTCAAAAAATAAAAATACATAAAAGAATCTTTATAATGGAGCGATCTGGGGACATGACTTTCACCAAGTGGACAAACTTAGCATCACTAATAATGGGACAAACTGACATCAAAGGATGCCCAGCGTGATGCTGTAGGGAGCAGAACATCACCTATGAATACCCTACCAACATGCTTAACCTGAATCTGACCACGAGAAAACAACCAGCAAATTCAGATTGTGGGGCATTTTAAAAGACAATTGGCTGGATTTTTTAAAACTACCTGTGTAATCCCAGTGGCTTGGGAGGCTGAGGCCAGGCAATCATAAATGGAAGGCCAGTCCAAGCAGCCCAGCAAGACCCCATCTCAAAATTAAGGAAAAAGTAGGGAGGTGGGGATGTGGGTCATTGACAAAATGCCTCTGGGTTCCATCCCTAGTACCAGAAAGGAAGGGGGGAAGGGGTGAGGAAGAAGAAGCAAAAGAAGGGGGGAGGTTATTCTAAATTAAAAGAGAAGGACATGGCAACCAAATGCAATTCATGCTCCTTGAATGAATCCTGCCTTTTAAAGAAAAGATAGAATAAAAGGACATATTGGAGTTGGGTGCAGTGGTGCACACCTATAATCCCAGCGGCTCAGGAAGCTGAGACAGGAGAATCACGAGTTCAAAGCCAGCTTCAGCAACGTGAGATGCTAATAGGCCACTCAATAAGTCTCTAAATAAAAACACAAAATAGGGCTGGGGATGTGGCTCAGTGGTTGAGTGCTCCTGAGTTCAGTCTCTGGCCCCCCCTACAAAAAGGACATATTGGAAATATTTATGAAAATCTGCTAGTAGACTGTGTATTATTGTATTAATGTTAAATTCCTCAAATGTGATAATTTCTTTGTGGCTTATATAGGAGTTCTAGGAGATATATACTGAAGTATCAAATGTCATGATGCCTTCAACTTTTATATGGTTCAGAAAAAATAATGCATGTGTATGTGTGTCTGCATGTAGATAAAATAAAGGTGCAAAATTTTAACAGTTGATTAATCTAGGTAAAAAGAGTAAGGGTATTCTGATGTTCATCATACCATTCCTTCAACTTTTTGATAGGTTTGAGACATTTCAAAATTAACAAGTTGAAGGGTAAAAATAACTCACCTTAGGAGAGGTGTAGTGTTGAGAGAACTTTCCAGGCAGAGAGAGTAACCCTTCCTAAACCTCTGAGGAGCTTGGTGAAAGGAGCTTGATGAATTCAAAGGACTATGAAAGAGTCACTGTGGCTACCACAGGGGTATCAGTCCAAGGTGGCAGAGTGGACACTAAAGATTTTGGTCTCATCCTCAGAACTCTGGGAAGCTGCTAAGGTATTTAAAAGGGGATTTGCCATGAGATAGGATTTATGTATTTATTTATTTATTTGGTACCAGAGATTGAATCCAGAGGCATTCAACCACTGAGTCACATCCCCAGCCCTTTTTTCTGTTTTTGAGACAGGGTCTTGCTATCTTGCTTAGGGCCTCACTAAGTTACTGAGGCTGGTTTTGAACTTGTGGTCCTCCTGCCTTAGCCTCCGGAGACACTGGGATTACAGGGGTGCCCCACTGCTCAGTGGGATTTATATATTTAAAAATCACTTTTGAAAGTAGCAAGTATGGAGTTTCTCCTGGAAGGACAGAAGCCCAGAGATGAGGTCTCAGCCACCTGTCTCCATGCAAATCTAGCAGACCTCACTTCTAGCTTGACTGAGCTCTCAGGCAGGGAACCCAAGTGAAGGGGCCTATAAAGGGCATTAATTGGAGAGAGCAGGGAAGGAAGGCAGCAGGGAGGAGAGTCTGGCTTAGAGGAGATGGCAGGGGTCAGACACCACAGGTTAGGAGGACAGTCCATGGTGTTGAGGGAATAAAGATGAGTAGAAGGGTGGCCTGGAACCATGGTGGGCTGGATCATAAGGAAGTTTCTTGGGAACTGGTTGAAGGCTAGAAGCCAAACAGGTGGCAGGCCACCAGATGTCTGATGCTAGACAAGAGATGAGCAGAAAGGGAGAGACTTCTTTTTTAGTCATTTAATGAGAGCTCTGTTTTCTGAGTACTGGGCCAACTAGATTATGTATTTATTATCTACTTCATCCTCAGAACCCCCCAGCAGATAAGAGTTATGATTATCCCTGTTTCTTGGCAGAAGAAATCAGGGTTCACATCCTTTCCAAATCACATAGCTAGAACCCAGAAAAATATACTTAGGTGAATTATATATTCATGCTTTTTGACTGAACAAATAAAACAAATAAAAACCTTCAGAGAGGTACATATGAAAATGTCAATGGTTGAATGATCAAATTGTCATTAAAAAAAAATAAAAGTAGACCTAATATGAGTGTAAAGCTGTGATCTTTTATATAACAACAAACAAGGCTTCAAAACAAGGAAGCCCTGGAGCCCTAGCAGCAGATGTAGGGGTTTCTTTAAGAATTTGGGGAAAAGTTAAAAATAAAAAATGGAGAAGACTAACTACATTTGATTGATCATTTTCTAATCACCGGCTATGTGCCAAGGTCTGTGACAGGTTCTAGAATTTTGAGGTAAAAGATAGATACAGTTCTTGCCCTAAGGAGTTTGTATTCTGGTATGCTGTGGGAGGGATATGAGGGAGTATCTCATAGGCTGGACTATAATAAAATATTTCATGTATCATCCCCCAAAAAAGTGAGAAATCTGGGAAAGTCACCCTGACAAATAGTCTGGATTTAACTGTGTTTAAATCTAAATGCAGTGCTGGGGTTGTGCTCAGTGGTAGAGCACTTGCCTAGCACACAAGAAGCACTGGGTTCAATCCTCAGCACCACATACAAATAAAATAAATAAATAAATAAATAAATAAATAAATAAAT